ACAGCCTGACGCCGTGTTGCTTCAAGTGCATCATTCTGCACACCGGATGCGCACATTGTAAGCGCTTCGTGTTAAAAACTGCAAAGCACAAAGTTGAGCCTTTCTTTTAACAGTTTTAAATTTCAGTTACTGTGCACGTTAAAAACAATTTATAGTCTTTTCTACGCCCGTGTTTTGTTCTCACAGACACCCGGTAGCAAGTAACAAAATAACATTAAACTCCGGCAAGAAGATAAAGTCCTTTTTGCAAAATCATAGACATTTATTTACAAATCAAGTATAATAATGGGAACACAGAATGATCTTGGAGAGAGCTTTACCAAGCTGACTGTCGTAACCGAATGCGACCAGGGTTTAAAGGCTGAACGAATGACTGACAGCCACAGCGGAGAAAAGAGTTTGTGTTAACTTTTATGTAAGGACTTAAATATTCATATGTGGCTCACATTAAAGGGATACGGTTCCTACGTGTGTTTACACTTTGCTTTGAATGAAAACAACGCATCCGTGCAGCGCGGCTGACACAGAAGAGCGTGCACGCTGCTTGCTTGATTCAGCAGATATTCTCTAAAATGGCGCTACGGTGATGCGGAGAGACACAGAGGAGACGAATTGTTGAATAAAGTCGTTATTTTTGTTTTCTTCGCGAACAAAAAGTATTCTCGTCGCTTCATAACGTTACGGTTGAACCACTGATGGCAGATGGACTATTCTGACGATGTATTTCATACTTTTCTGGACCTTGACAGTGTAATTTACTAGGCAGTCAATGGGACAGTCACAAGCCTCCCGGTTTTCATCCAAAATATCTCAAATTGTGTTCCGAAGACGAACGAAGCTTTTACGGGTTTGGAACGACATGGGGGTAAGTGATTAATGAAAAAAAAATTCATTTTGGGGTGGAGTAACCCTTTAAACTAGGAATGTATCTGGTTTCCCTCTATCAAAACAATTGTATAGGACATACCTGTTGGAGTGTCATAAATATTATTTTCCCAAAATTTGTGTGGCTGTTGGACTATTCTGACGATGTCTTTCATACTTTTCTGGACCTTGACAGTGTAATTTACTTGGCAGTCAATGGGACAGTCACAAGCCTCCCGGTTTTCATCCAAAATATCTTAAATTGTGTTCCGAAGACGAACGAAGCTTTTACGGGTTTGGAACAACATGGGGGTAAGTGATTAATGACAAAATTTTCATTTTGGGGTGGAGTAACCCTTTAAGCTATCGTATGGCTTCAGAAGTAACACAAAATAATACGCACAATCTCGCATTTGGATCGGCCCTCTCTGACCGATACCCGATCCGACACAAATGGCAGTATCAGAGCCGATACCCGATATGAATATCTGATCGGCGCATCCCTAATAATTCTTATTTTTTATCTATTATATTATTTTTTTTAAATAAAAGCATGGTTTAAAAGCCTAAGAATCTTGTAGTCTTTATTTAAATGTAATACAAAACTTTTAAATATGAATTGAATTATCACCATAACTATGAATAAAAACCTAAAAAATAGATACATTTGATTTTTATTGATATCTATAAAAGTAGAGCCTAAAAGTCTATTAAAAAATGCTTACATTCCTTGCTCTAATTTAGCACAACATTTTAATAACAAATTATATTATTAGCATAACAATGATTTAAAAGGTGTATATATATATAATGTATAACATTATTTACATTAATTCACATTACATTAATCAAAGACAAAAAACACTTGAATTTTAATGATAACAATACACTATTATTTTAGAAAATAATTCAAATGTCTCAGAGCACTAATAAAATGTTATAAAAATTATATATATATATATATATATATATATACAGACATAATTTTTGTAACATTTTATTAGTGTATGATTTACTGTATGATACTGTG